AAGAAAGTCCATACGCATGTTTGTTTGTTTTTTTAGGAAACGGATGAAAACGTGGTTATTTCACCAAGCTGCTTGGGAGCTGGACTGTTGTGACAGCCCCTCAGGCCAATGGATTGTTTTTGGCCATTTTATGGAAAGATGATGAAGGTGTTGTTTTCACGTTGATGCATATGATTTTGATCCCAATTGCATATTGGGGCACAGAATCAATAGAAGAGAATAGTGGGTGGATGGGTGGATGGATGGATAAATGGATGGATGGATGGATGGATGGATGGATGGATGGATGGATGGATGGAAATCAAGGAAGGAAGAGGGAGGGAGGGAGGAAAGAAATGAAAGAAGGAAATCAAGGAGGGAAATCAAGGAGGGGGAAAGGAAGGAAGGAAGGAAATCAAAGAAGGAAATCAAAGAAGGAGGGAGGAAGAGGAAGGAAGGAAGGAAATCAAAGAAGGAAATCAAGGAGGGAGGGAGAGAAAGGAAGGAAGGAAGGAAGGAAGGAAGGAAGGAAGGAAGGAAGGAAGAAAGAAAGAAAAGGAGGGAGGGCTCTTCTGCTTCTTCGAAGTATTAAACAGTCCATTTTCCATCAGAATCTGCTAATCGCTTCTGTAACTTCCAACTGGGCAAATGGTCGTCAGCTGTGCGCCTCAACCTTCTAGTGCCGTTGTTTGGAATATAACTGAACAATGAAATTAAAATGTCACTGAGATAAAGACAGGCCTAATTTTTAAAGGGAGAATCTTATAGATTGCTGTGTAATGGCCCACGAAATAGGAAAGGGCTCCTTAAATTTAGTTTTGGTGTCTTGTGGTTTACAATCCTAAAGAGAAAAGGCAGCCAGATCTTTAACAGTTGTTCAATTCCAAGAGGAATCCTTGATCTTCACTCTTGTTTGGAGCTTGGATGAGAACTTACAAGAAATGTCAGGGCTGATAGACAAGAATTTTTTTTTACACACACACACAAATCTCAGCCAGAAAAGAACGACAAACCATTTCTGTACTGCTATTGTCTTGGTTAAGCTACCAGGAATCTAGCTCAATTCAAAGATTTTATTTTCAAGAAAATAGGTTTTTGAGATTACAGAGGACTGCCGAGAAAAATGGGAGGAAAACCAACATCCAACCCAGGGGGTTTCCATATTTTTCATTTCTGATTATTTAAACTGGTTGTCTGCTGCATTTTGTCACATCTTAAGTTTTTGTTTGTGTTGCCTCTTCTATCGTTCGTTTTTCTTGACTGTTAATTTCACTTCTTCATTTGAGTTTATCATCCACGATTTATCACTTTGGGGGAGGGGAGAATGGAACATTTGGCTGTTTTGCTGCCGTAGGAAATTAACCTATTCCTCATTAACCTCGCAGCTTTGTTACCGTTCTGTCAAAGCATTTGCTCAATGTTGTGACACTTTAAATTAAAGCTCTTGTCTGATTTCTGATGAATAAAGGGCTAGGCGCCTGGGTTAATCAGCCACGTGAACCATAGAACAGACAAGCCACATTGCATTTTTTCAAAAGAGGGTTGGAAAGGTAACCACGTACTTCTTGGAAAAGTGCAAATGAACTTGGTGAAGTCATTTTTAAGGAGATGTTTCCAGGCTGGCATGGGGGTGAACAGATCTTCCCTGATTCAGGTTAGCCTCCTTTTCAAATTTGCAAGCCACAGTGACCTATCTCCTTTTGAAGATTTGATTATCTGTGGACTCATTTTTCAAAGGTATTCAACATCAAGGCCATTTACCTTTGATCTCTCTTCCCTTTCTTCTCATAATTATTCTTTCCTAGATATCAATGGAGGTTTCTTTTGCCATGAGACACCCTCATTGTTTCCTAATATGGGTTTTTGTCTAATTTTCTATGGCAAAATCAGATATGGCGAGGTGAGGTGAGAGGAATCTTTTATAATCGTCTTTTTCCAATGTTGCTTTCATTTGATCTGCTTTCTTCCCAATGTTTGTTGCCTTGAAGATGTTCAAGCAGGGTGTCTAATGCTTTTCAACCATTCCAGAAAGGAGCCCTGATGGCTCAGTGGTTAGAATGCAGCATTGTAAGCTAATTCTGCCCACAGTCTGGAGCTCGATCCTGACTACTCAAGGTTGACTCAGTCTTCCATCCTTCCAAGGTCGGTAAAATGAGGACCCAGATTGTTGGGAGGGGCAAGATGCTGACTCTGTAAATCACTTAGTTTTGCAAAGCACTCTGAAACAGTATGTAAGTGCTATTGCCATTTCTCCTTTTACAATTTACATTTCTCCTGACTTCTGTCATGCTGGACCCTCTGGCCAACCATCTTCAGAGTACGCTGCATATATACAATCTTTTTACCCAATCACTCAAAGTACCACTGTGATTAAGATCCTGTGGAGCACATCAGCTTCACTACTTGATGCTCCATGATGGATTACTCAGTGATCTTTTGGAAGTTCATAAAATTATACTGGGCAGATTTTTGGGGGGAGAGGTCCACTCACCACTTCCCACCTTATTCAAGGAACTCAGGACTTAAAGCACTTGAGTATTGCCAACCATCATGCTGGACTGTTTGACATTGGAATCTGGTAACTGGTCAAAAGGAGCAGTTGGGTGTCCCCAAAGGAGCAAACCTTGCTTATTTTAGTTTTGGAGGACGTCCCAACACCATTCAAAGAATAATGTCTGGAGGAGGACCTTTGATGCTGGTTCAGCTCCAAAAGCCTGTTGGATATATAGGCTCTTTATAATTAAAGGAAAACCATGACAACTTCTCTGGTCATTTCTTTTCAAAGGTGATAAATCATAAAATCATAGGGTAGAGTCTTGGAGGTGATCCGATATAATTTTCAGCTCAAAACCAGGCTCTGTAGAAGACTTCTGAAGGATGACCACCTCTTTGTGTGGCAAGCTGTTCTACCAGATGACAGCTCATAGGGTCAGTCCCTCCAAAGTTCCTTTGGAAGACCAGTCAAAGTGGTCAGGATTGTACCTATCCTCAGATAGTTTTGCATTCAAGCATTTGTCTTCTGGGCATGAACCAAACTCAGAATGATGCAGGTCTACAGAAACAGTTCTTTGGGCTGCAATTGTTGCAAGGGGCCCTCAGAAGAATTGGCTTGATGACAGCCGAGTGGCTCAGCTCCTAATTTGATCATCCATCTCTGAATGCAGCCAGTTGTGCAGTCCCTAAACACAGCAAATTACTGTACCAAAGCTATAATCACCCTCTCTACACACTCCAGGGTTCTCTTTTACTGCTCTTAATTGGATGATGAAGTCCATGGTGTCCCATCTCCTTCCCACCAGTTCATTTCAGTGTGTGGCTTTCTGTTGTTGTTTTTGCGACTTCAAGAATACCACCATCCCCTCTTTATGCTGTGTCTTAAAGAAATATCTACGTGCAAGCATTTGAAATATATGCACAGCCACTACACACTGTGCACCTATAAGTACCAAGTCAGAATCAATATGACTAATCCACATTCTGTATTGCTGGAAACCCATTGTGACTGGCTGATCAAAATCTGAACCTGTAACACCAATATTATTTGCCCCCTGGATCTAAAATGTTATCAAATTAAAATGTTTTGTGGAGTGCTGTTAGGCTGTTGGACTAGGATCAGGGACTCTCAGATCAATGTCCAATTCTATCAGAAAAGTTCATTGAGTGATTTGGAGAACAGTTAAAAATTTCTGTAGCCCACCTGAGACATACCGTAGGGGTTGTTTGGGGGCTGGAAGAAAATAAATTGAGGAGGAAGAAGTGGTATTATGGCCATCTGGCATGTCCATCTGGATTTTTGCAGTCTAGCTCTCCAAAATCTAGCTTCCAAATGGATAAGACAGCCAACCTAATTGTTTACTCTGATGGGCCATCTAATTCTACCACTTCTGCCATCACCACATAACTGAGGTGAGGACACTGAATCTTCAAATCCATGAGAGCTTTCTTAACCTTGAAACCCAAGTTAGTTCTTCTTTCAGATCTCTCTTCACAACCCAACAAGGTTGGCTCTGAGAGAACCATGTGTCCTTGGGTGTCATGGGATAATGTTAGAAATATCATCCAGGCCTTATTTCGGGAGAATTTTGGGCAGACAGTAAAGTCCTATATATGTTTTGGACTTCCAGTCCTCTTAAGGCCAGAGTCACACACTTGTAGAAATTGGGCTTCAGACCTTCTGAAAAGTTACCATTGGCCACCTTCCTTAGTAAATACAGCAGTGAGATCTCCCTCAATGTAAAGATTCTAGGAGATGTTCGCAATATTGAATACTAGGGATAAGTACATCATACAAGATGTCCAGTAGTGAGTTGTCAGATCCTTCCAAGTCTATAATTGCATTGCCAAGTGAAATCCAGTTTGAAGAACCTTTGCTTTGAAAGGTGACTTCACAAGTACTTGTCTCATGAAAAAATTTTCATGGAGATTTTTTCCAAATCTATGATAGGAGCCGTTTCCAGTTAAGGCTGTTTCTTACAGAAACCTGGAGGATCCTAGAGACCCATGGTGTAAAACCATTACGGTTCATCTGGTATCGGCTTCCAGTCCCTGTCATGAGCTTTCAAAAGCACCCAGGTCTGCAGCGGGCTGATAAAGCGTTATAAATAAATAATAGCAATGTAATGAGGTAGCTGGTAAATGTTGCGTTAACATCAGTCACTTGGTAAAAGAGCATTTACTCTCAATGTCCATCCTTTGATCTTAATTCCCCCCCCCTTCTACTAAACACATTTTCCCCATCTCCACGCAGGATCCTGCTTGATCTGCCAATCGTGCTGGAGTAGCAAAATTCTTCTCCAGATCGATATTTCTTCACTTTAGATGTTATGATTGCTTTGAGATGTAAATGGCTACATGCTCCCAAACTACATTATGGTGAAAGGAAAGCAGAACGGGAGGAGTAGAGGCTACGGCCAGCAAAATATTGAATCATTTCTGCATTAGCAGACGGGACGTTGTGCAAATATTGATTCTTTCTGTCTTTCTTTTCTTTCTTTCTTTCCTCCCTCCACCCTTCCCTACAGGAACACTTCACACCAGAATGCAAGTTCAAAGAATCCGTTTTTGAAAATTATTACGTCACGTATTCTTCCATGATCTACCGGCAGATGCAGTCAGGAAGAGGCTGGTACTTGGGTCTCAACAAAGAAGGCGAAGTCATGAAAGGGAATCATGTGAAGAAAAACAAACCTGCTGCCCACTTCCTCCCCAAACCGCTCAAAGGTGACACCATTCAAACTTCCTCAGCTATTTGTAGAGGATTTGTGAATACAATTTGTTTTGTTTTTTCCTCTTCTGCCGTTTTGTTCTCAGGGTGCTTGCGATCCCTTTGGAGAATCTGCCTCTGTCTTCTGCTACATCAAGTCTTGTTTATCTTTTGCTCTGTGTGTGTTTGTGTGCTTGTGCAATGAGTGGGTGGGGAGAAGGCCCAAATGGAAGCAACAGGTAGCACGCCTAGACAGAGCCAGGATTGTTGCCATTTTCCTAAAAGATGATGATGATGATGATGATGATGATGATGATGATGATGATAATAGTAATAATAATAATGTAGTTGGAAGGGACCTTGGAGGTCTTCTAGTCCAACCCCCTGCTCAAGCAGGAAACCCTAGACCATTTCAGACAAAGGGTTGCCCAGTCTCTTCTTAAAAACTTCCAGTGTTGGAGCATTCACAACTTCTGGAGGCAGGCTGTTCCACTGGTTAATTGTTCTAACTATCCATGCCTTCCAGTTTCAACTCCCCCAGCAGGGAACCCAAACTAGATGACTCTCCCAGCAAGCATTGCTCCTCTCCTCTGTCCCGGTACTCATCTTGGTAATCTTCTTCCTGAATGCAGATGAGCAAAATGCTTTGAATGGTGACATTTCTGGGCAGTTTTTCCTCTCCCCTCTCCCCTCTCCCCCCTAATGCCCTCAAGGGGATGCTTCTAAGTCTTCCCCCTCCCCTCTGGGGAAGGCCAGGTCAGATTACTTGAGTAGCCATCAGGCTGAGCTTTCTATCCCTCTTAGGTTGAGGAGCAATCTCCTGGACATCAGGAGTTATAAGGTTGGAAGGGATCTTGGAGGTCTTCTAGTCCAATCCCCACCCCCACCCCTGCTCCAGCAGCAGACCGGTCTGTGATTCTTCCCTGACTTTCCTTTCTCCTCCTTTCCAACCAGTGGCCATGTACAAAGAACCCTCCCTCCACGACCTTACCGAATTCTCACGGTCTGGCAGTGGCACCCCAACGAAAAGCAGAAGCGTCTCCGGAGCTTTGAACGGTGGCAAATCTATGACCCAGAACGAATCGACGTAGCCAGGATGGAAAAGCTAGAGGAGAGAAGAAGCATCCATGGGAACTTTTACCTCTAGATCCGTTGTGGAACCCTGATTTTTGCACCTACCGTTCAGCCCTTCCCGACAAGCCAACAAACTGGGATAGCTCTCTTGGCCTTTCATCCGCGACTTTGGACTTTCCGGAGGTCCCCAAATAACCGTAAATGATTCGTGTCAAAGGAAAGATTTTCCCCACCCCAATGATGTAAAACGCGCTTGTGCAAACACAGACCTAGCCAGACAAACACGAAGCAATGACCTCACATTGCATCTGCCTTTACCTCTCCCCCTCGCTTACGCTCTTGGGGAGAAGAAGAAAAAAATCCACCACATTTAAAAACACATTTTTGCTTTCCAGCCAAGACAGAAACCCTGTCAAAGTTTGTTCTTCTTTTTTTCTTTGCTCTTTGAAGGGAATTTCAGTATTTAGTGTTTTATATATGAATGGTTCAGAGAGAGGAAGGGGGACTTTGTACATCCTCTGCTTTTTTTTCGACTTACTATTTTATATATCATCAAGCTTGGTAAGGAAAAGAAATCTGAATATATCTCTTTTTTATTTTTATTTGATATTATTTTGGGTCTCTTCTCTTGAAGGGGTTTTGAGTTGTGTCTTTACAAGCCAAGCAAAATCCTGCTAAAATGCTAGTGTAACCTTGAGGAAAAATAATCAATAAATCAGGTTTGGAGCCGGATCGCAGTAGATCTTAGGCTCCAGCAAAAAAAAAAAGTGTTCTTGTGATTTTAACACAAACTGAGATATATACAGTTTTTTATAGATTTGTAGTCATCCTTTCCAAGGCCTCATGCTAAACTCCCAGTCTGTAGGAACCGAGGTGTGTGTTAGTTTCCCCGTCTGTGGAAAATAGTTATTTTTTTAAAACAGGATGAATCGAGTTCTTCCCACAATGTAGATTCCTTTTTTTCCCCTCTTCTTCTCTTAATTAAATTTTGTGTATCATATTTAAAAACAAAAAGCAAAACCTGTGGACATATACCTTCTTTTTTCTAAAGACAGAAACTGTGGAACTAAAGTGACTTAACTACATTTTTATAAGGGAAACCATGACATCTTGTTTGTAAACATCTTTCCTTTCCCTGAAAATGTGGGTGGAGAATGAAGATTATCCACGGATAAGTTGGGAAAAAGTCTACATGGAAAGGAATTGCAATCCAGCCTGTTGAGGTCACTGGGATGGAAGGAAGTGAGGTGGCGGTTCATCTCTCCTGGCCTTGCGTTGAGAGAGAAGAAGCCGTTGAGACAGGAAAGGACTGGGGGATGTCATACCATCTGGCTGGAAATTGGGTAGATCATGATGGAAGAAAAAAAGGTACAGGCATCATCACATGGAATTTTTCTGAATCCAATAGAAGGGAATCTTTGTAGCTCATGGTTGAACTGTGGGGTCCTTGGTGCTCTCTGAGCTTGGTGGGGGGGTTTTGTGGATGTTTCATGATCCAACCTGGTAACATCATCAGGGCAGGTGGCATCTCCATCATCCAGCACCAATGATGTTACCTAGTTGAGTCATGACACATCTACAAGAAAACAAACAAACTCAGAGAGCACCGAGGACTCCACTTCCTGAATCCTTATTTTCTATTTGCAAGAGGCTGGAATTGCATCTTTCCTTCTTTGTTTTTTGTTTTTTTTTTTTTAAGGAAACAGAAATAATGCAACCAGGGAGAGAGAGAAAGTTAAGTTTATGTTTAGTTCATCATATCTCTTGCATGAGAGGAAGTTGGATACTGGCTTCAGAAGTTGCATGACCTGTTTAAGATTTTGTGCATTGCTCTCTGTCAAAGATAACATGTGCAAAGCAGATATGGGCCAGGATGAGCTGTTTCCTGTCGCTTTGTACAGAGGAGATGTTTATTATTTGTTGTATACAACCATGCACTGAATAAACAAATTTATATTAAGGTGTCCATTCTAAAAAAAAAAAAAAGCAAAGAATAGCAAAACCTAGGTGGTGGATTCATTCAGGTCTAGAGTATCTAAGGAACCCGACATACGTTTTGCAAAGTACGGCTCACTTCCCTTTTCAAGCGCTGACATTCACTTAAATTCATCGTGTTCCTTCGGTGAGTCTTTCCCAAGTTAGATGTGTTAAGCCATGGGGACCACCATTCCCAGCTAACATCCTAGCATTATTCTGGGAGTTGTAATCCAGCCCATTCATAGGTGGTTTTGGAGAAGGTTGAAGTAAGGGTGGCATGAAGAACTTCTAGGGAGATTCTCCATCTTCCGGATCACGGTTGTCCCAAAGGTGCTTTTTTTTCCAAAAGGCAACTGGACTTTCTTGGTTTTATTCCTTGAAAACATTTCACTTCTCATCCAAGAAACTCAGAACTGAAGAAGCTTCTTGGATAAGAAGAGAAGCGTTTTCAAGGAATGCACCTTTGGAAATGCACCTTTGGGACATGAAGAACTTCCTTTAAAAATGACCAGGGGAGAAATGATGTCTTGAAGCTTAGGACTTTTTAGGGAGAAGAGCTTTTGAGGCCTCAGTTCCAGAATGAAGATCTGATATGAGTAGATGCTCTCCTTGTTCTGCCTAACTCCTATTCAAGCCTTATTGCAAGTAATTGTCCCTAATCCATTTTGGCTGACTCTCTCCACCCATACAAAATAAAAAAATGTAATAGCTAGTTGAAAACTCTCCAAAACTTCATGGGAAACTCATTCTATATATTGTCCCCAAAACTATATAGATGTGCAAATACAGTCACCAGATGAGCTGAATCTAAGGAGAGTACAATTTATTCATGTTGTTATTTATTACAGTATTTAACATCTGCTGAGCTCAGTCCAACCTTTGTCCTACAGAAGTAAGCAAAGGCTTAGGGGGGCTTAAGAAAATATCAGAAAAAGGCAAATCCTTGTTTGCATGGAGTGGGAATTTCACGGCATCTCACACATTTTGATGGTGGCAGAGCAGATCGGTAATTTAGCAGGTCAGAACATCTCAAGAAGGACCCTGGTAGACTCTTTGACATGTGACAGCAATTCAAATCCTTAGTCATATTCATGCATAAACTGGCAGTTAATTGGAAGGCTCTTGACAAGCTACATTCAGCCTCATTTAAAACTCAAAGGTTGGCAAAGATTCAAAGAGATGGTTCTTTCATAAGTTAGTTGATTACAGATGCTGGAAAAGCCCTAATTAGAAGCAGAAAATTGCATCCTATAAACCATACATGTAGCAGTTCCAGATTTCATTTCCTACATCTCCATCTGCTCATGTCCCCTAACCAACTAGAAGCAGGTTACTTCTCCATGGTAGACACTAGAGGACTTTGTACATTTTTTATTTTAGCAGATCTGCCGTTGTAGGACCTTTGCATCTGATTTTTTTCTAGCTAGTATGGAGTTGGGAGAAATAAACGGAGAAGCTTCTGCCTGAGGCTGTGGTACTGTGGGTTTGATGGACAAAGAATCTGGGATCCACCGCATAGGATGAAGTCCCGGATTGCTTATCCAATGTTTGATGAATTAGAAACACTTGATTAGGTTCACACATCATGCTAAGGCATTGACCATCATGGTCAGATGGTTGAGTCATGCAACACATTAGCCGAAACCAAAGGCCTCATGATGATAGATCTTTTAGGCATCGAATCCACTTTAGTGACCTTGGGCATGTTATTCCTTTCACCTTATTTAGGACCAAGACCTGGATGTCCCATGCAAACTGAAGTTATAGTATTTGGATTCATGTTCTTCTTAGGCCTGGCTAAAACTCATGCCCACTAACTGGGAATAAATTCCATTGCAAATCACACAAAACACATCCCCATCCTATGTTTAAGAAGCCTCTCCTATCAAGTCAAATGTATCAGTAATCAGTAGGACTGGAAAAAACACATTCACAAAACAAGTCTTTCAGCAGTCTACTGAACACAGTTTAGTCAAACAAAGGTTAAGGTGATCAAACAAAAATTCCAGCAAGAACTTTTGTGTCCAAGTGTGAAGCATTGTAAAATGGTGAGCTTCTGGTTTTCTTTCTTTTAATGAAGAAAAGGAGCAAATAAGCAAGCTTAAATCTGGATAATATTTACACATTAGGGACTTGTCTCTTATATAGTGTGGGAAATTCACAGTTGGTGAAAGAGCCAGAAGCTGCATTCCTACACAATGCTAGGCTTGGTTAGGGTTAAACCTGGCTAGCTTTCTTAAGTTTAGCAAGCTGGATGCATTCATCTCTCTTACTGTAAGCTTCCTTATGTATGGAAAACCAAAACCTGGACTAATTTAGCTTGCTGTGTGTTGGTAAACAATGCAGTGGTGGAAATCGATCCTACAACACAGCAATAATTCATCCCTCTCTCCTCTCTGTTTTGGTAGCTTTTCACCATGCACAGAGAATTTGGGCCTTGCCATGGGGTCACTGAAAGTCCCCACCCCTAGAGAAACAGAGGGAGGTGGAAAGATACAGGTCTTTCTTTCTTTCTTTCTTTTTCTCTGTATATCTGTATATGAGAAGCTTGCCCCATTTTTTTCTAGGTATCTATGGGAATCGTAACATTCAACATCCGAGAATGTTCATCCACAGATATGGGGGAGAGTCTTTCCAAAGAGGAAGTCTTGGCAAAGTCATCCCTCGCTGTTGCTTAGAGACGCCGCTGAATCCCAGGGAGGATTAAAGCCGTCCTCGCATTGGAGAGGATAGTGATCAGACACCGTAACGGTGACTGTCATCAATTGCTCCTCATGACTGAACAGCAGCCTCACAAACACAGGCTGCAAAGCCCTTGGCAGTTGTCTGCCAAGATCTTCCCAACTGGCAGCCAGGTGCCATTCTGCTTCTTTGGGTGGGGTCCTGGTAGAGAGACCTGCAAGACGCAATTTTATTGTTATGTATTTTATTTGTATCCTGCCTTTATTATAACCACCCTGGGGATAGTGCTGAGAGAATGCCTGGCCTAAAGACCCCCAGCCAGCTTTTATTATTAAGGTGGGACTAGAACTCACTATCTCCTGGTGATTAGCTCAGGGTCACCCAATTGGCTTTCATGCCTAAGGTGGGACTAGAACTCACCATCTCCTGGTGATTGGCCCAAAGTCACCCAGTTGGCTTTCATGCCTAAGCAAAGGTATTAATTCAGTACTCAAGTTGAAGAAAAAGGGATGTAGGTGAGAGTAGGCAGGACCAGCCAACTTGTCTTGGGAAGGTGATGCTGAACCAAGGTTAGGAAGAATTACAAGGGGAAGGAGAAATAACGATTTGGAAAAAATGCAATTGTTGGCTCTATCAATATCTTCCAGCAAGGAGTCCATTAAGTTTGAGTTCCAGAGCAAGGAGGAAATCCTTGCCAGGCAGTTGAGCCTTAATGCTGAGAGGGCACTAGGGAAGCAGTTTCCGTAGAAACAGATGTGTGAGTTTAAAATAAGAGAAATCTTTTTGAGCAAGACCCAGATGCTTCGCCCAGCTCCAGCTGCCTGCTTAGGAAGGAAGAGGGGAACTCCACCCCAATCTGCCTTGAAAATCAAGAGGAGCTAAGACAAACTCTTTTTATCAAAGGACATTTTTAACAGCTGGTGACAAAAGATTGGATATTTAAAGCAAAATTATAATTCTCCCTTTTTTTTCCACCTCCCTTTCTCCTCAAAAGCAAATTCCTTTTTTATGCATGGAACTTTTTGGGGGAGAAAAAGAAGGATCTAGAATTCTTCTAAGAAACCTACAGAGAAGCTAAAAGAGGACAAAGTAGAGCCTTTAAAAACAAAGGAATTAATTAGCACAATGAAATCAATAAATCAAACAACGGGGCCCTTGGCTTTTTGGTCAAATATTATTCATATAATTTGGTGCTTCTAAGCAAATAATTATTTTTTTTAAAAAAAATGTTTCTCTTGATCTATTTTATACCCAAACTGGAAGTGGGGAAACCAACCACCATGAACAGCCTATCTGAAGAAGTTCTGATCCTTCATGTTGGCTCTCATTTGAGTATCAAGACTGAGATTTATTTTAAAAAAAAGATAGGTTGACTTTAAAAAAAAATAAAATAAAACAGTCCTAAGCTTCAAATAAGCTTATTTACTCAAGTGTATCCCCATTGCTAGATGGATGGGATGGACATTAACCTCCAGGTAGCATCTCAGGGTGTGAAGGTCTTGGGTAGAGACCAAGGATTCAAGTATTGGTTTGCTTAGGTTATGCAAAAGAATGAACAACATTACTTTGATATAAAGGCGTTCCTCAAATTACAAGCATTTACAATATTTAGTGGACATTCAAAGTTATAGTAGAAAAACACGACTTATGATCAGTCCACAAATTTACAACCGTCACACCATTCCCACAGTCAGGTGATCAGAAATTCAGGCACTCGGGAACCTGCATGTATTTACAATGATTTCAGCATGTCATGTGATCACCCTGTGTGGCCTTCCCAGCTGATTTCTTACAAGCAAAGCTGGGAAATCCTGCTGGGTGGGGAATTCTGGGAGTTGAAGTCCAGCCATCTTAAAGCTGCCAAAGTTGAGCGACGCTGGACTAGATTGTAACAGATGCTAGATTATAACTTGCTTTCCAAGTTTCCAAAGTGCATTGCTCTGCTCCTCTCTTCTATCAAATAAGCACTAAATTGGGTTCAATACGGCATTCTGGAAGAGAAATCGGGCACGCCAGTCTGGCAAATTATATACTCTATGGTCTCAGATATAATTTGAGATTTTATGTTCAGGCCAATTTAATTAACAGGACCTGAATTAAGGGCAACAGTAGCAGGAAAAGCTGGTCAGCTCACCAAGATTTTGGCTGTCCCTTAGTTAACTTTCTAAATTGCATTTGTTCATTTTCTTTAGAAGAGCAAATTGCAAATTGGGAGGGAGGGAAATAGGAATGCCAGCCTCAGGATTTGCTCAGCTCCTGAGGAGCTAATGGATGGAACGTCTCTCGTCAGCCATGCAGAAA